GGGCGGGGCTAGGGTGGGGCCTGGGTGCAGCCTCTTGGCCACTCTCACCCGGGGGGTAGGCGGGGCCCAGGCCTGCGGCTGCTGATCGCCTTGACAGGCTGCTACATAGTGAAGAATATGTGGAAAAACGACGTCGTCTTCTCCTGGTCCTAGTTTTTGGGGTGGCTGACTTTATCCTTCTCTGTTCTCGCGGGTAATCTGGACAGCGGAAGAGGGTGGAGGAGACGGTCCCGAAGAACACCCCCTCCCTGCAAAGACTCCCTAGCCACTTCCCGGAAACTCCACAGTGACTTCCCAGGGACTCCCCAACACATTCCACTCCGGGCTCCCGGGAACCCGGCAGAAAAGCACTTGGAGCCCCAAACATCAGTACCTGGGGCCCTCCGGGTCATCCGCCCCAGGACCTACCCTCCTCCACCTGCCCTTCATTCTCCTCCCGCCAGGCTTCTGCTTTCTGCTGGCGGACATGATCATGCAAAGCACGGATGCCATCAGTGAATTTCCAGTGTGCTTGTGACCGCAGGTGCTTGGCAGAATAAAGGAACGGCTTCCACCGCAGCGGCTCCATGTGACTTTCTGGGGGACCTGAAGACGCAGATACGGGGGTACTTGGAGGCTCAGGGAGGACGTAAGGACACGAAACTACAGGGAACGTTGTAGACATGGGGGGGACACGGGCGTGTTAGAGACTCGGACAGAGAGAGGACAAGGGACATGTATTTGGAGGGGACGGGGACACGGGGATAGTGGAATCAGGGGACATGGGCGCGTAGAGAGGATATAGGGACACAGACACGGAGGAAAAGTGGAGACAAGGACGAGGGAGGACAGATACGGAGGAACGTAGAGGCGTGATCATAGAGGGAACGAAGAACACGGGCTTGGAGAGAATGGGGTAGGGGCAATGGGACACGGGTGGGGCACTAGGGGAGAGGGTAGACCCGAAGGCGTTGGGAAAAGTTTAGGACGTCTTTTCTGAACTCCTCTCCAGGAACGCGTCCCTCCCTCGCGGGACCTTTCCCCCAGTTCCTGGCCACGCCCCCTTCACAATGTCCTTTTCTCCGGGTTCCGCCTCTCTCCCAGGGATCTGCTCCTCATTGGCCCGCATCTACCTGCCCCACCTCTCTCCCCTCCGGCCTTCCGATTGGTCCTTCGGGGCGGGGGGGCGGGCACCGCGGCTGTTGACTGGCTGACGGCGCGGAACGCAGGCGCAGAGAAGGATAGGGGGGCGGGGCGACCAGCCCGAGAGGCCGAAGGCGAGGACTCGCTGCCGCAGGAAGATGGCGGAGCTGCGCGCGCTCGTGGCTGTCAAGAGGGTCATCGACTTCGCAGTGAAGGTGACCGGGCCCCCCTCTCCCTCCTCCCTGAGCCCCACTGCCGTGTGCTTCCGGGGTCACGAGCGCACACTGTATGAGGGTCATCTGGGACCTTTGGTCTCTGCCGCTCTCCTCCCAAACGTGAAAGTCGCACCTAAGGGCAAAGATCAAGAATTGAGAGGTTCTGACGTTTGATCTGCTCATCATTCAAACCCATTCCTTCTGGGGTCATGACCCCGTTACCCTTTCCCCGGTTCTGGACTCACTCTCTTGAGAAATCGGTGCAAGGCGAGTTACCCTCTCTGTTTTTTTACCTGCTGGAGGAGTCATGGTCCCTGTTTAACATACGGAGAAACTGAGGCACAGAGCGGTCACCCAACTGGGAAGGGGCACAGCCAGGATTCCTATCCAGGTTCCTCTGACTCCTTACCCCAACTAAGTGCTTTGCACACAAGCCAGGCTTTCATGCACAAGGCTGCATTGCACACTCAATTGACTGTTCAGCTCTGGAAATGTGGTATAATGGAGGTCCCACTGGGCGCTGTGGGAACCCAGAAGCTATCGCAGCCACAGGGCGAGAGGTGTATCCCGCTAGGAAGGGAGAAGTGCATTTGCTAGGGACAAAGACAATCTTTTAAGAGGTGTGAGAGGCAACGTCTCCAAGGGCCTGGCTTGTCCCCAGAGAGAAGCTGGTCTGGACAGAGGTGACTCGGACAGTCTCTCAAGCCACTTTGTCTCAATACTTGGCCTAAACTAGACTGAAGGAGTAGTGACTGGCCATCCATGTCTGTCCCCACTCCCCGCCCCCTCCATCAGATTGGGAGCCCACCTGTGTCTCCAGCACTGCCCAGCACTCTCGCATGCCTTATGTCTCGGGTGGGTGAAACCGAGGCCACGAAGTTGGTGCTGCTATTGCTCCTGCCAGCGTCTGAAGTGGAGTCGGGAAGAGGGCCCAGGAACCCGACCCCAGCATGAAAACTTCTCACATGAAACAGCTCACATTTAGTGGGTTCTTACTTGCACTAGGCAGCGTTCTGAGTCCTTGACAGAGGTGAATCTTTTTGGTATCATCTAGATGTTACTAATTCCTCTGGGGTCTCATAGCCTCCCTCTGCCCCAGCCCTGGTCCCTGGCCTGAGATGTCTCGGGTCATAATCGTTTCCCCTCTGCCAGACAGGCTCACATCTGACTCAGCTCTCAGTCCCAGCATCGCCCAGCCCAGGACCTGGCATGTGGGAGCCCCTGGTGTAGGTGCTGAGTGAGGAAGTGTGAACCTACCCTTGAATCAGCTCCTATCCCTCCCACAGGGCCCCAGGCCTCCCTCCATTGCATCTTGTCTCCCTGGATGTGTCTGTTGATGTCTTTTTCTGAACAAATGAGTGATTCAGACACAGCCAACTACCTAATTACCAGGCCAGACCCCCAGCACTTCCCTGGTTCCCCAGTCTCCAGTTCCCCTCCAGTCTATCCCCTCCCGGCCCTGGGGAGGGGGAATGGCTTCCTGCACCCAGAGCTCCCTAGCACCCTCAGGACAGAGTCCCAGTCGCCCCAGCTCAGTGTTTGAGACACTTCATGGTCCAGCCCTGGCCCCCTGGCCCTCCATCCCCATTTATGCCTCCACAGCTCCCATCTGTTCATACTTTCCTTACAGACCAGGCTGCCTCTGGTCTTAGACCTTTGCCCCTGCTCTGCCTTCTGCCCGGGTGCCCTTCCAGCTCTGCCCTCCCACCTCTGCTGCTTCTCCCTCCCGTGTCCTGCCTAACTCCCACTGATTGTAACAAAGTTTAGTAATTCACTGGTGTCACCACTTCCAGGAAGCCCCCCACCCCATCCCCTCAGGCTACTTCGATGTGTCCTTGGGCACTCCTGCAGCCCCCTGGGCTTGCCTTTTAGCCCTTCCCACACTGGATTGAGATGTTCTGTTTGTCCAGATGTCACCCCTGCCCCCAGATGGGCAGAGGTGGATGTAAGGTCTGACCCAACTCTGTTCCCAGTATTGCTCCCTCACCTCCTTCCAGACGTTCCTCAAACTTCATCTTCTCTGTGAAGCCTTTCCTGATTACCTGCTTAAAATCACAGGGGCCATAGTCTTGTCCCCTTTCTTGCTGTGTTTTTTCCCCATACTATTATCACTTTGTAATCAGCAGTTTACTTTACTGATTCATTGCTTTAGTGTCTGTCTTTCCTTCTGGAATTCGAGCCCCAAGGTGGGGAAAAGAGTCTGTCCGATATAGTCCCTGCTGCCTTAGACAGCAGGCACACTCCTAGAACAGTTTAGAGCACAGACTTGGGTCTGCTTCCTGCTGTGTGATCTTGGGAGAGTTGCTTAACCACTCTGAGCCTCATTTGCTGCTTTTGTACAATGGGGATAATGAAAGTACCTCCTTTATGGGGTTGTAGATTAAATAAGGGTATGTAGATTAAATGGGTATGAAGATTAAATAAGCTCTTAGAACAGTGCGGGACATGCAGTGAGTGTTGACTGACACTCAGTGTGTATTGCTTTTGTTGGTAGTAAGAGTAATGGATGTTTATTGAGTCAGTTATTCAAAACATAACAATATGGTGCTCAGTGTGTATGTCTGTGTCTCTGGGTGTGTGTATGTTTGTGTCTGTCTGTGATTGTGTAAGGATAGCATATGTCGTATGGCAGGGGTGGGCAGGACAATGGAAGGGGACAGAATAACGGGACAGGACGGGGAGAGTTGGGACACATGCAGTTTGAAGAAGGTGGCCAGGGAAAGCGGCAGGAGGTGAGGGATCGAGCCAGGAGCACTTCTGGGAACTCCTGGGTGACATGCTCGGCACAAGTTCTGGTGAAAACACATGGACTCAGTTCTCCTTTCAGTGTGACTGGTCCATGAGGCACAGCCAGACCAGGAGACCCCTGCTCGAATCCCACAGTGCCATCTCAGATCTGTCCTGTCAGTCCCCCAGCCCCAGAGAGGCAGGGGCGGGGAATAGCAAGAGGGTCCCAGTGTCCCCAGCTGGACCATGTTATCACCCTGGGTCTGTCACACCTTCCGTTTCCCCATCACCACTGTCACAGCTGTCTGAACCACTGTCATCTCTTATTTCAGTGACCAACAATCCTCTCTAACACCCCCAGCTGGCTTCTTTCTTCCACTCTTGCCAGTTTTCCAGTTTTCTACACCAAGAATCCAGAATGACCTTGTACAAACTTAGGTCAGGTCCACTCACCTCTTTTTTTTTTCCCAAGTTTTTTTGTGGGGAGGGGAGGTAATTAGGTTTATGTATTTAATTTTATTATTATTTTGTTTGTTTGGGGGGAGATAATTAGGTTTTTTATTTATTTATTTTTTAATGGAGGTACTGGGGATTGAACCCAGAACCACATGCATGCTAAGCACGCGCTCTACCACTGAGCTCTACCCACCACCCTTATTTGTTTAATTTTTTAAAAAGTGGGAGTACTGAGGATTGTACCTAGGACCTCGTGCACGCTAAGCATGTGCTCTACCACTTGAGCTATTCCTCCCTCTGCCTGCCCCCCCCCACTGACTCCTTTACCTTTCCTTGTGGTTCTGGGATCAAAGCCCAGCTTCCCCACCTGACCTGCCGGGCCCTCTTGTATTCCTTCCCTGTTGCTGTTGTAACCAGTCATCGCACACTGAGTGGCTCATGACAACATACATTTATTCTCTTATAGTTCTGGAGGTCAGACATCTGCAGTGAGTCTACTGAGCTTAAGATCAAGGTGTCAGCAGGGCTACATGCCTTCTGGAGGCTCAAGGAGAGAATCAGTTTCCTGTCCTTTTCCAGCTTCTAGAGGCTGCCGGCATCCTTTGGCTCATGGCCCCTTCCTCCATCTTCAAAACCAGCAGCCTACCGTTTTCAGTCTCTCTTTTGGACCTTGACACTAACTCTGTCACTTCCGTCACATTTGCAAAATCCCTTTTGCCACGTAGGTGCCAGGGATTAGGATGTGGACATCTTAAGGATCTGATATTGTGCCTGTTACAACGTCCAGCCCCTGCCAGCTTCTCTGACAGCACACTGCGTTCCCCTGGCCACACCAGCCTCCTGGGACTCCTCAAACCTCAGGGCCTTTGCACACGCTCCCTATCCCCCCAAACTCTTTACCTCACACTTCACCTACTCAATGCCAGTTCCTCTTTCAGGTACAGCTCAAGTGCCACTGCCTCAGGGAAGCCCTCCTTGATAGCCTCCAACATTAGACTGGGTCAGGCCCCCATCATCCTGTCTCACACCTCCCTGACGTCTCCTTCGGGAATGGTCAGGTGGTACAGCAGGGGACTTGCGTGCTGGAGGCCTGGGGCACCGCTGACTGGCTTTGTGACCTTGGCACAGGCACTTCAATTTGGAGCCTCAGTTTCTTGGTCTGCCCACAGGGACAAGACACAAGACATCTCCTCCCTCATGGGGCTGTCTCCAGAAGTGATGAGTTAGGATGTATGCGATCGCTTAGATCAGGGCTCCTGCGTGATGCTTCTTCAGTGGCCAATACTGTCATCCCGGTTTGCCACCAAGAAGATTGTAGTGGGTGGAGATGTGGCCCCCCTAGGCTATGAAGTCCCTAATCTGTGGACCCTGTGAATGTTGCTTTATTTGGAAACAGTCTCTGCAGATGTGATTAAGTAAAGGATCTTGAGATGGGGAGGTTCCTGGATTCCCAGGGTGGTTCCTAAATGCCATGGCTAGAGTCCTTATAAGAGAGAAGCCAAGATTTGACACATACGGAGAAGGTCGCATGAAGACGAAGCAGAGAGAGTTGAGGCAGAAAGGCCGCCACCCCAAGCCCAGGAATGCTAGCGGCTTCTCGGAGCCGTGGGAGCCAAGGAACGGATCCTCCACTGGAGCCCCGGGAGGGACCGCAGCCCTGACAACACCTTGATTTCACAGCGAAAACTGCTTGTGGCCTCCTGGCCTCCAGAACTGGGAGACAGCAAGCCACCGAGTTTGCGGCGCTGTGTTCACAGCGGCCGCAGGAAACTGACAGAAGCAGTTCAGGCCACGCCCCCTGCGCCAGAGCTCCTGGGGGCCTCTCTCCCCTGCGCTCGGCGGTGCCCCGGAATCCAGCTCGGGGCCAGGCACACGGTCCGCGCTCAGTGAAGACTCCGCGTGTGAGGAAAGGAACAGGCGAGGTTTGCTTGCCCTTAACCTTTGCCTGTTAGGCAGAGAGAGGCCTTCTATGCTGGTGTTACTCAAACTAGGGCTTAGCCATGTGTCCTCATGAAATCCACGTGACCGGCTGGCATTAAAAAAGAAAGAATAGAGGGGTGGGTATAGCTCATTGGAAGAGTGAGTGCTTAGTGTGTGCGAGGTCCTGGGTTCAATTTCCAGTACCCCCTTTAAAATAAAAGTCACACACACACAAAAAGAATAGAAAAATGTCAGGGCATGATATATAATGGAAGAGTTCACTAAAATTGTTAACTGAAACTTACATGGCAGTGGAATTTATGCTAATAGTAAATATACGTCATATATTTATAATACACTTGGGGGTGTAGAATGTACGTCTCACTCTGGGTTATGGTTAAGAAAAATTTGAGAAATTTAGGCCCAGGCAGCAGTGACAGCGTGGGACAGTATGTCCCTGCCTAGCAGATATCTGAATGAGAGGGTGGCCGCCACTCGCCTGTGAACACTAACCTGCTCTGTCCCCAGAGCTGTGGGACCCTGGACAAGGCCCTGCCCCTTTCCAGATCCCTGTGGTTCCCCTCCAGCCTGGGTGAGGGTTGGTGTCTCAGCCCCCTACTTCTTGCCCACTCCCCCCTTACCCTGCCCCCTCCCCTCCTGGCTGGGCAGATCCGGGTGAAGCCCGACAGGACAGGTGTGGTCACTGATGGCGTGAAGCACTCCATGAACCCCTTCTGCGAGATTGCCATGGAAGAGGCTGTGCGGCTCAAGGAGAAGAAGCTGGTGAAGGAAGTCATTGCCGTCAGCTGTGGGCCCGCCCAGTGCCAGGTACCCAGGGTCCTGGGGAGAGGCTGCTGGGAACCCCGAGTCCCGGTCTGAGGAAGGAGATCTGGGGGCCCGGACTCCTGGGTCTGAGGGAGGAGGAGGCTGGGGACCAGGCTTCCGGGTTCCCCTGCCACGTCACGCCCCTCCCTGCTCCTCAGGAGACCATCCGCACTGCTCTGGCCATGGGTGCAGACCGAGGCATCCACGTGGAGGTGCCGGCTGCAGAGGCAGACTGCCTGGGTCCCCTGCAGGTGGCCCGGGTCCTGGCCAAGCTGGCAGAGAAGGAGAAGGTGGACCTGGTGCTGCTGGGCAAGCAGGTAGGTGTGCCCCGACCCTGCCCCACGCTCCCCCATGGCTGCCCGGGGGTGGGGAGGGCGTGAGGTCAGACTACAGGTGTCTTAGGCCCAGGGTGTCCAGACGTCCCAGGCTGAGCAGGGATGGGATCAGATCTAGGTGCAGAAAGACCCCTCTCGGGCCATGAGGTATGGAAGTTAGGAAGGGAAGGAGGACCGGGAGGGTCGGGGTACGGTTTGGGGGAGGGTAGGGGTTGGGGGGACGTTAAAGGAAGGTAAGTGGAGCGTGG